AGTATTGCATTTTGAACTGTGTAGCAAATCTGATCTGGGTCTTTTGAGATTTGTGCTTGGTGTGGACAGAGTGAGTATGAGAATATATGAAATTCATTTGAACTGAAGGAAAGATATTTGGTACTGTGCAAGTGCAGCTTCAGATAAGTGAACTTAAAAGGTTGCCCTGACAGTATTCATAGTTATCTGTATATTGTATCATGTGCAGTGAAAGTAAGAGACAAGAAAAGGTTGAAACTGAATTGCTGGTTTTAAAGATATTCATGTGTTAGATATACAAAAAGGAAGGGATCAGTGAATCAAGTTTCAAGTTGGTTAGAAACTATCTTACGTCAACAGAAACACGAGATGATATATCCAATTACCTATGTTTGTGAGTGTAGAAAATGATCTTTGTTGCACCCTGTCTAGTGTTCTACTCATTGTAAAGGCATGGTACATGTCCACTTGGTGATATTGAACCTATGACAAGAATCAGTCTGTTAAGAAGACGGCAGGTCTTTAATTATCCATAAAAAACCCACACCACTGGTGGTGCAAAGTAGCCATGAATGTAATTAGCTTTCATTGTTAATGTTTAACTCATTAATGTGTGCTTGTGCAACAGATTAGTTTGTTTTAAGGTGGCCTATGTATAATGGGTTTAAGATATTTGAGAAGAATTGTATACAAATTAAGCAATTACTATTCTCTGCCTCTGGGCCAGGCATGGGTTCAGCTGAACAGGTTGATTAGAAAATATTTAAATATGGGGCATAGAGAACATGATTAAGAAGTTTGCAGATGAATCAAAAAAAATTGTCATATGGTTGACAGTTAGAAGAAAGTTTGCAAATTGCAAAAAAAAAATCAATGCACTGGTCAAGAGGGCAGAAAATGAATTTTATTTGGTGAAATGAGATATAACGCATTTCGGAAGGTCCAACAAACAGGAAAACACTGAACAAATTCTAAGATATTGTGAGGTATAGAGGAACAAAAAGACCTTGGAGTTCAGACCTCCTTGGAGTTTGCAGGACAAATGGACAAGGTAAACAAGAAGGTGTGAGAGAATACTTTCCTTTATTAGCTAAGGTGTAGAATATTAGGGCAAGGAATTATGCTTGAACATTTTAAATACTAGTTGGCCTGATCTAGGATATTGTGTATAATCCTGGTCAATGCATCACATATTAAGATGTGATTGCACTAAAGTCTGTAAGAGGGAGATTAATTAATGCCAGGTAAGGATAATTTTAGCCATAAAGAAAGTTTGGAAAAGCTATTTTCTTCGGAGCAGAGGAGGTTAAAGGTGATTTGATTGTGATGTATAAAATTATGATGAGATCAGCAAGAGGGTATAGAAAGGAACTACTTCCTTTCGTGTAGATGCCAATGATGAAGGAGCTTTGATTTAAAGTAACTACAGAATTACAAAGAACTTGAGAAATATTTCACCCATCATATGGTGGAAGTCTGGATCTTGTTGTCTGAAAGGGTATTGAAAAGTTCATCATGTTTAATAAATACTTGAATATGCACTTGAGGTGCTGTACCTTATAAAACTATGAAGCAAGAACTGGGATAGATAGTTACTTTTAGAAAGATATTTTGCCTAGCATAAATACAATGAACAGAATGGCCTCCTTCTGCATCATAAATTTCTCTGATTCTATAAGATACATTTACAAAACTTTTATCAAAAAGTTCCATTTTTGATTTTATGATAGAGGGAAGGTCAGTAATGAAGCAGAGAAGATGGGAGACTCCCCTGAGAACTAGAAATCACTTTCTCTGGATATATGGTTGGTCATTTAGGACTGAAATGTAACAATCTTCTTTACCCAGAACCTGAGACTACTTTGCACCATCAGTAGGTGGTTTTTTTAATGGATAATTAAAGTCCTGCCATCTCCTTTATTATTAAATCTGTTTGTATTGTCATTTGTATCAATGGTAATATCGTTTATCTTTACTGAAATCTCTTCAATCAGTTTGAAATAGATGAAATGTATCATAAATGACAAACTCAATGAATGTGACTACTTTCCCATAACTTCCTTGACCCATCTGCAGCACTAAGTCCAGCTATCTTCATAAAAGTGCTCCTTCATTGTCTACCTTGGTACAACTGCCTTGGTTCCAGTCTTACTTGTTAAATAATCTCAGCCTTTTGGGCCCATTCCTTTACCTCTCAGTCTCTATCTCCTCACTTAAGAGCTTCTTTGACCAACTTTTGGTTATGCCTGTAGATATGTCTTTTGTCAGATTGCAGTTGCATGGAACCCCTTGGGATTTTTCTATATTAACAGGAGCTATCTAAATATGTCATTTTATTATTGCTGTAAATTTGCAATGCACAAAAAAAGCATATGTCTGTTGGAAACTGGTCTCCATATGTTTTGTTTTGGTCTATAGCTGCCATGGTATTGATGCATATAAGATATCAGAAACTGGGAAATTTCCATCATATGACACGTTAACTGTCCCCATAATCATGACTGTTTCAGCAATGAAAAATTTCCAGAACTTAACTGATATCACTCACACAGCCAAAACATGAGTATTTCGCAAAATTTCTTTATTGTGGGATTTCTATGAATTTTAATAAATGTATCTAAAACAAGCATAATGATTGCATTCATAGATTATGCTTGTTCATCCAGTTGAAGCACATGTAGTGCCATTCTTACACCAAAAGTGAATAGACTTAAAAACAATGATGGTATAAATCAGCAGCACACCACATGATGTTTCACACTGTTACATCTTTCCACAAATAATGTAAGACCGTGATAGGAGCAAAGGAAACCCAAACTTTGAGTCTGGTCCATAGTTCATGAAGATCATGGTTGATTATCAACTTCAATTCCAGATTTCTGCCCAATTTCAATTCCCCTTGATTCCCTCAGAGTTCAAAAATCTATTGATTTCAGCCTTAAACATATTCAGTGTCAGAGTATTGACAGTCCTCGGGCTATGGGTAAAGAAGATTGTTACATTTCGGTCCTAAATGGCCAACCATATATCCAGACAAGTGATTTCTAGTTCTCAAGGTGTCTCCCATCTTCTCTGCTTCATTACTGACCTTCCCTCCATCATAAAATCAAAAGTGGAAAAGTTTGATAATGGTCAACATCATTCAAAACTTCTCAGATACATGTCCAAATGCAGCAATACCTAGATAATATTCAAATTTGGACAGACAGATTTCAAGTAGCATTGCCTGGCACTTGTGTGATGTGAATGACCATCTCCAACAAGAGGAAATCCGTTCATCACTTCTTTACATTCCAGCCATTACTGATTCTCTTACTATTCACATTTTTGGAATTAATATTGACCAGAAACCAAACTGGACTAGCCGTATAAGTACTGTAGCTAGAGAAGCAGGTCAGAGGCTCGGAATCCTGCAGCCTGCAATTCACCTGCTAACTCCTGAAAGCTTGTTCAACATTCATAAGCCATAGGTCAGGAGTGTGATAAAATATGCCTCACTTGCCTGGATGATGCAGATTCAACAACATGAAGAACCAGCCAGGGCAAAGCAGCCATATCCACAAGCATCTAATCCTTTCACCACCGATCCTCCAAAGCAGCAATGTGTGTACCATCTACAGGATTCACTGCAGAAATTCACTAAAGATCCGTAGACAGCCTTAGACCTGCCACCTGCAAGTTCTCCTCCAAGCCATTCACCATCTTAACATTGCTGTCCATTTAGTGCCACTGAGTCAAAATCCTGGAACTCCCTTCCAAACATCTACACCAAAGAGGCTGCAGTACCACATCCCAAGGGCACCTTTGATGCATTCGCTATTCAGGGGAGAAAAATGTCAAATTGATACTTTGTTGCAAACCGTACTTTGCAGTTATCAAGAATACAAGGTGAATATTGTGAATGATATCCATTTAAACTAGCTAGAAGGATGGTCTTTGGTGCAACATCCTTTGAAAGGAAAATGCATTACTGGAAGTGCAGTCTCGCAATGAGATGTTAAAATAAGGCAGGGACTGCCCTCTCAGAAAAATTGAAAAGATCCCATGGCACTGTTTCAAAGAAGAGCCAAGGAACTCACCTCAGCACCTTGCAAATATTTATTCCTCAATGAACATTTGATTCATTTTGGTAGCAAGGATGAGGAAAAACATTAGAAAATTAAGGGTATGATTGTCAAGGTTGTTCAGGAGCAGAGGTGTATGTGTCATTTGAAAGTGGTAGAGCAAGTTGAGAGAGCAGTTAATGGAGTTAATTTAAACTAGAGACATAGTGTATAAAAGCGAGGAAATTATGATAAATCTGTTTAGACTTGTTTAGGCACAACTAGAATATTGTGTCCAGTTCTGGGCACCCCACATTTAGAGTGATGCAAATTAGAGAAGACTTAAAAAGAGAGTAGTTTCAGGGATGGGGAACTTAGGTTACATGGATAGATTGGAGAACGTGTGAATGTGCTCCTTGGAGAAGGAGACTTGATACATCTATTAAAAATCTTAAGATACCTGGACAGAGTAGATTATGAGAAACTGTTCCTATTGGTGCAGCGATTGAGAACCAAAGGATACAGATCAGCAAAAGAAGCAATAATGACATGAGAAAAGACTTTTTTTTAACTCACTGAGGGGTTGGGATCTAGAATGCACTGTACAGCTTGTGAGTGTGGCACTAGAAGATTCACATGTGGCTTTCAAAGGAGAATAGGATCATTAGATGACGAGAAATTTGCAAGGCTGGGGAAAACAGGGAAATGGGACTGGATGAGTTGGGCATGCAGAGAGCTAGTACAGACATGACAGCTGAAGAACCTCCTACGTTGTAACAATCTATGATTCTGTAACATCACAAAGGTAGATTATGTGGTCATTTTGATGTTTGTGGAAGTTTTCGGTACATAAACGTTCTGTCATTACAATAGTACAGCAACTGCACATCAATAATAGTTCATTGGCTGTAAATTTAAGGGCTTTGAGAAACCTAGGTTGTTGGTGAAAGATGCTACATGAATGTAAGTCTTTCTTTCCTTCAGAGGAATTCCTATTTAATTGGGTTACTTGAGTTTGCCTGTGTTTGCACAAATGCTGTTCGCCAAAAATCAATTTTCAAAGCGGGGAAAAGGTCAGCAAGAATGGCGCCTGCACCTTTAAAATTATACGGGTGCCTGCGCCTTTAAGAGGCAGCGGGCCCGTGGTGCTTAGCTGAATGGGCAGGGACTGGAACCGAGCGTTTTAGAGGCGGGGAAACGGGAGGTCGAATACACATATAAACGAACACGTGGGAGAATCATCGCCACAGGATCATAACAACATGCCCAGATATGAGCTTGCTTTGATTCTGAAAGCTATGCAGCGGGTGAGTGTTGACTAAAACAAAAACGAAAAGAAAGAAAGAAAGAAAGAATGAGTGAAATAAAACAGTCGCCATCTTCCCGTTTCATGCCAAACCAGCGACGAGGTGGAAATCCCCGTTAATCAGGCTGGCGGGGAACAACATAACCAGTGATTTCCTCCTCTACCATTACCTCTTTTGTTTAAAACAAAAAAAATGCTGTGTTTTTATTCACCTGGTGTCAGGATGGTGCGTTTTGTTCTCTTTCTAACTATTTAGAGTCAATTGGTCATTGAGGCCCGACTCAACCTTAGCGCCAGGGAGTGGTGCTGCGGGTTTGCCGATTTTTTTTTTCTGGAGACTGAGGGGAGGCAGAGAGAGGCGCTGAGAGCGAGAGAAACATTAGCTGAAGAAGCCGGGTGCACTTCGGCTGCTCGGAGAATGAAGGCTAAAGCTGACCGCCACACCTTTTTCAGACCAGTGTCCCCTGCCTGGCAAAGTCTGGTTGTTAGGGTCTTGGAGACGCTTGGATCAAACACCGTCCCCATCCCAATCCTTTTTTTTCTGAAGCAGAAGTTTAGTACTGCACGATACTTAACGGTTCGTTGGTTAACAGTAAAATGAGAACTGTAGATGGATATCTTTCCGCATCGCATTTAAACGCGTGAATTACTGACTTTAAGATGACTATAGTTATTCAGCAGTGTTCAACATTGAGTTAAAATGTGTTAGCGTAATCTTGTTATCTTGCAAATTTACAATCAAACCACTTTAACAATAAAGGGAGCAAAATCAATGGGGTAATGATACTTTTTTTTTGATAGCTTTAATAAATGCAAACAGTTAATTTTAGCTGTGAAATTATGTGGTGTAAGAAGTATTTAGTAATTAAATAAAACTGTTTAAAACTGTTTGGAGTAATGTGTTGGGTCAACTACACAATCTTGCTTCCACAGCTCTAAGATTTCCCTGTTGTGATAAACTTTTTGTTCACAGTTGAGCTTTTATCTCGTTCTGGGCAAAAGGTAGGTTAATTGGTGATTACCTTTGGTGGAACCTTGATATGAAAATCTTTTTCATAATGGTACAATCCATCCAATTTCTTTAAATCGTGAACAAGTTGAATATCAATGAGATTTAAAAACTGAGGAAGGTCTTTCACATTCATTTACATTAAGAGTTTCAAAACCAACTAGTTGTGCTGTAGATGTGGATTTGAAAAAAATTAGCCTCCAATTTTAATTTGTAAAGCCTATGGTCCATGTTATAAATTGCATTTTGCAGCTAGTGACTGACACTGTTTAATTACTTTGAAATTTATGATACTGGACCATTTTCCAAAACAGATCTGCAAAACAAACTTGTGATCTGCAGTATATAGTAGTAACCAAAAAGACAAATTTACCTTTGTAACAAGAACTGATGACTTTAATTTTGGAGAATTGACTGCATAGATTCCCCAAAAGCCTTCCTTTATTGTAATTCTTTTGCATTAATTGCTTGGTAAGTCAATTGGACCAGACTCTCTTCACTATAAAAGTTGTTTCCACCATGTTGCTATGCATTGCTACACCTTTCCAAAGCCCTTTGGGGTTCTAACTTTGAGGTGATGATTTCAAGAAAATGTGATGTTTTGACAATACTAGAATCAATCCTTTCAGTAGGAATCTATTGTCCTTTGCTTGCAATCTTTGAACAGGTGAGTGCTGCATTAGTTTGCAAGTTTTGAACTAGATTACTCTGATCTTTAATGTGGGCTGTAAATTATTTTAGTTGGATTAAATATATTTGGGAAAGAAAGCTACTTCATATAATGTTGCTTTTGTGTTAACATTTGAATAGGAAATAAGTTGATGTGTTATTTCAAGGTTCACTGCTTGCATTTTAATATACAGTAACCTCCCCAGTCCAGAATGCTTGAGACCAGTTTATTTCTGGATTTTGGAATTTTCTGGATTATAGAATATTGCTGAAAAGAGGCATGTGGATAAAGCTTTTTGTCTTGCTGTCATCAGGGCATTTGAAAGATTATCAAATTTCAAACAAATACAGAAATTTACACTACAAAGTGGTTGGCATGGTTACAGAATGAAGTTAATCGTGTGTGAATCAGCAAACACTAGACATAACTATCTGAAACATAAGTGCTAAAACATTATAAAGTAGTTATTAAAATATTTGTATATAGATGTTAAAGCTTCAATGTTCTGCTACTGCAGTACTGTACTAAAATTATGTTGATGCTGAATGTAACTGGTTTTTAACATATTTCTGGACTGGAGGGATTACAGTTTTTTTAAATAATTGCCACATTCATGAGAGAACATTTTTGGTGCATCTGTTTTCCACTCTTCCAAGTCTCCTCCACAGTAAATATGGATTATCCTAGTTAAGACATTGAGCTTCAGAGATTACTCCCAAGGCTAAGCAAAAATATTGCACTTTAATTTGTGCTGATCTGCGCTTTAGTTCCATTTAACCACCTTTTCACAATATTTCATCTCTCAAAAAATCTGTCTGCTAGCCTTAAAGCTGTGTTTGTCCCAAGCTGGCATAGTTCCAGATTTTTTCTTCCTTTTTTTCATTTTTGCTCCTGAACATCCAACTCAGCTTAAGGGTCATTTCCTTGCAATGCTCTCTCTGGATACAGAAACTGTATCCTTTATCAAATCCTTTTTAACGTATTTTAAAATGTGTTGTTTGACCTTCAGTCTTCAGTACAAGTGAATAAGTGCCAAGTTAATGCAACCTGCTCTTGTCATTTAACGTTCTAAGCTCCTCTATTAGCTGGAGGACTGCTAAAAGCACTATAATGCTAAATAATAACTTCTTTGTCATTGATTTCTAACCCCCGTGAGGTAAAGCTAAACTCCTTTTCACTTTTCTTAATGTTTTATGGTTTGTGGTACTTGGACTCCTAAAACTCTGGCCCTCTACAGTTCCTAGATTCTCATTGTTTTAGGAAATATTCTGGCTTTTTTTTTTGTACCCTTATTGCTGACTGTGTTCCCTCCTATTGAGTACAGGAAATTAGATTTGATGTAGGTAAGTAATTTTTAGTTAAACTGTTAACAATTCCTGAAACTTCTAGTGCACAATGAACCTGAGAGCTGGGTTGCGGTCAAAACTAGAATTTTTGGAATGGGGTGGAAGGTGTTTACTGGATTGCCTGCCACAATACACGAGAATCTGACATGAATAAGTCTGTGGACATTTGTCCACACCATGCATCCCATCTTGCTGAATGTGCCAAGCCCTCACTTTGATAAAGAAATCTTGGAAGTAGTTCAAAGAGAGACCCAATAAGTTGAGAACCGCCTTTCTTTAATTTCCAAGGCTTAAAAGAACAGCATTGAAACTTGGGAATTACTAAAAGCAATAGTTCAAGTAAAATATTTTTTAAACATTCACATAATTGATGAGTTCCTGCTTTCATCAACTTCTCATAACAAACATAAACTTATTTCGACATTGAAAAGAACAATAATGCTGTTTGCGCAAGTAATGAGAATCCAGAAGAACAAAACCTGGTTAGAATTAAAAATAGCTTGTAGAAGAATAATTTAGATTGGAAATTGTTCTCTAGTGACTGTTGGTTTAAGTGTTATAGAACTGAAAAGCATTTTGTAAAACCTTATAAATGTGAAAGCTTTCACATTTGTAGTATGAAGGTATGTTACGGCTAACTATTACATACTGTAATTGAATGATTTTGCTTGTGATCTGTGTTCTCCAGCAGTTTGTCTTGAGGCTTTCTTTATTATCTTTTTTCACCTGCCTGAGTAACACTCCCTTAAAGCGATGGAAATGAATTCATTGAGACAGTGTATGTATTTTTGCAAAACCCCTGTTAGCTTAGGAATATTTAAAGTTTTAACTGAATATTTCATGGCAGACATAAGATTTTTTTTTAACTTCCATTTATGGTACTGATTCGTCATTCATTCTTGGTTGCTTCCTAGTTGCATTAGTGTTTTCTGACTTCCACGTCTATAGTGCAGTGGGTTCTGGTAACAATCAAAGATATAGTTAGTTATTGCTAAAGTGTTGTCATAGTTTGATTGAGCAAGGAATGCTTATTATTCAATTTTAAGTTATCAGGAAAACCTGCCTGACAAGGGACTATTTATGAGAGGACAAAATACTCATGGAACTTTAACTTGGCTATTGCTATATTGCATAACTGTTGATATTCTCTCTGCAATATCTGCTGCAGTACTGCAGGTAGGTGAGCTTGGCACACTGCAACTGTGTGCAGTTTAACTCCATTTCCTAGATGGTATGCGTTATAGAATATAATTGTTAAAGTACGTAACATTTCCAAAGAGTGTGGATTTCAAGATGGGAAAATAGTTCCCAAATCATTTCTAAAATTTTTAGTTATTTAGCAGTCAACATATTTTAAATTGAGAAACCAATATTTAGGAACAAAGCTGATATTGTGTGATACAATCAAAGTAGGAAAAAGGTCAATCAAATTCCATGGTTATTTAAGGCCAACAAAGATTTTTATAGGTGAGATGGCTGTAAAAGGGTGGAATTGGGTGGATAAAGGAACAAAAACAAAGTTGCTGGAAAAGCTCAGCAGGTCTGGCAGCATCTGTGAAGGAAAAAATAGAGTTAACATTTTGAGTCCGGTGACCCTTTCTCAGAACTGACAGCGGATAAATGTTGTAGTGGTGGGAGGAAGTTGTAAGGTGTCTAATAGATTTTGAAGCAATTGAAACTGATAAAGACGAGAATGTGTATAATGGGTTTTGGTTTAAATTTAAGGAGACCATAGAGACAAATGAGAATATTTAAAATTGTATATTTGAAATATTCAAGTAGTCACTGAAATGATAAATCACTGTCCATTGACCGCATAGAAAAATGAAGTTAAGAAATTAGCAGCTATCTGATAGTGAGCTTTTTTTCTCATAGGCTGTCCAGGCAAATGCAAGAATTTCTTTTTCTGACCAAGGTATTTGAGTCTTTGAACGAATTTGATTTATGGGAAAATGGAGATGTTTAATACAGACACTATAGTTCTTGGGATGACCTTTTTGATTATATTAAATCTCCTGTTTAATTTCCAAAAGATTGAGAAGCCAAAAAAATGGAGTAACAATATCAGAAAACGTTTGAAAATAATTCTAAGAGCCTTTGAAGGATGGAAAGAAATCTCTATTGTCTCATTGAAATAAATAGAAGAAATTTAAGTTTTTATTGAGTAGCTGTGTGTGCTGAAATTATGACGTCACACCAGGGGGGTGCTTTAATGGTACAGTGGCATTGTCCCTACATCTGAATCAGAAGATCTGGGTTCAAATCCAGCCTCAGATATGTCAAAGTATCTGCACATGAAAAGGTGGTCAAGTAGCTTATTTTGGCTACTAAACAGTTATTTAGTTGGTCTTGTTTCCCTGCTCTTTCTTTATAGCTGTAAATCTTTATTTTTGTTCGAGTGCTGATCCAGCATCTTTCCTCATGGTGTACTTCAGAACTTAATTTTCATAGTTCTTCTCCTTTTGACCTTCTGATTCGTTTCTCACTTATGATAAGTCTGTTTCTTCTGGCTACTAACCCTCTTGTCAGTAGAAATCTTTTCTCCCCAAATAATTATTTTAATTTTGAAGACCTGTTTAAATCTATGCTTAACTGTCTGTTCTCCAAGGAGAATAACTCCTGTTTCTCTACATAACTGCATTTCCTTATCTTGGGTGTCATTCCAGCAAATCTCTGTACCCTCTTCAAAACTATTATGCCCTTTCTAATGTGGTGCCCAGAATTGATCTCAATACTCCAGCAAGCATTTTTTAAAAATAAAGATGGAATTGAAAAAGAGATAAAGGGACAGAAAGAAAAAGTGAAAACAAACTTTTAATTTTGGAGCTTTTAAAAAAAGCCTCACGGAATGAGACTCCACACTTTAAATACGTTTGCACATGAATGGAAAAGCCCTGACCCTTTCTGTTATGTTTACTGGGTAAGTACCACATCTATTTCAATGATGAATCTCTTGGCCTGATACCTTTTGTATCAATGTAGAAAAGCCAAAAAAAACAGACTTTCTATCATACTCGGAAAAAAGGCCAAGCAAATCAACCTAGTTACCTACATAGTTATTAAGCGACTTGCATGTGTGGATTTTGGAAGTGGCTGTCCACTTTACTCCTTTTTATACTAGTGAGTGCTAAGCCTCACTATTATTCTAAATGCAAAATATAGACAGCACTTTTTGATAGAGAATTATGGGAAGAACCCTAAAAAGTTTGGTAAACAGAATAGAGGATGAAATAAAGTTTCCAGTATCAAATCTGGATGTTTTAAAATTTTTCTGGTTGTTTTGGGCAGGATATTGATTTACTATTGGATTTTAATGCAAAATTATTGTTCATACTTTTATTAAAGAATTGGCAACATAAATAGCTGGAAACGTGCAGTAAAATATACAGTGCAATAGCAGAATGTTATGAAGTTTGTATCCACTCCATAACTCTGAACTGGAGATGTATGGTAGGGGATTGATTTATCTCCAACCATATAGCTATTTTGGGAAAAAAAAATCTTCCACAACGATGTTCTCGGCCGAAATTGGCTACAGTTTGAAAATTTTAAACTAACATTCCAAAGTTATGATAGCAATATATTTTAAAGATGTGAATGTAAATAGTGAATAGGGAGAAACTCTGAAATTTGATGTATAAGTTACAAGTTAATGCATGGTTATGTCCTTTAACTATAGGGGTGTGATTATAACTATGTAGAAAACTATAAAATAGAGCTATGATATGTACACTAGATTTGATGCTAGTATCGGATCATTTAGCCTTTTGAATGCAATTACTCCAGCACTTCTGTTAAAGGTGCATTGCTGTCAATGGTGCTTACAGTGCAGCTGTAAGCTTAGGATACCTGCACCATTCATGTGCTTCACGTGAACCTCAAGTGCAAATCTTTTGGAAAACCCGTGGTTTCTCCTTTCTGCATACGTGAGTAGATATATCTTCTAACCATTTACTAGTAACATGCAGTTATGGTAGACTTTTATGCAAATACATTTTAAAATATTAAGGTATTTACAACTGAGTATCTAATACATAATTTCCACAATCTTCTCATATTACCTCTTTAAAAATTTTTGAAACAACCTTAATTCATATAATCCTCCTCCTATTTGTAATTGGCTGCACCATATTAGGATTTTAGACTTGATTCTTGACTTTGAGTTCACAATGTTCTGAACTGTACAGCTTGGAAGTTCCCAGATCACTGGTCTCGGAGTTAGCTCCTTTTATGTAAGGTTAGGGTGGTTCACTACAGTTAGCCTCCATGTTGTCAAGGTGGGGGCAGGGAGGCAAACCAACTGGCTTCTGATTGCTATCTAGGGTGTCATCTCTGCTGAATCATTTGTTGACCTTATCTTGCCTCCTGGTGAGCTTTCATACTTTTTTAACATGGGATTGTTAAATAATGATGATCAGGAATGGGAATTCCGGTCCGTTATTTCTGTTCTGCACCCTACCCAAGGTCAAGGACATTGAGGTTAACTGTAGCACCCAAACTGTTGAATAATTTATTATCTTGGCTAATTTATCACAGCTCAGGGATTAAATGTTGACTACTGCATCACAGTGCAATTTCCCATTCCGTTTCCCTATAAGCAATCAATGAGCTTCCTTTTTTTTTGCCTCTCTACTACCCTGTTATACCTGCATTGACCAGGGTGACAGCTTTTACCCACTTTTTTCTTCAAATTTCTATTTGATTCTTTTATTTGCAACCTTGAGTTTCCAGTTTTAAGATACAGCCACTTACCATACTTTTGACTTGTATGTTAAACTTTGTTTTGCAGAATCAGCCTAAATTTTAAACTAGTCTCTGGTGTCACGGATGTCAGCTGTACATGGCATTCAATTGTTTTTATAAAGCTACTGAGTATTTAACAATTTAAAGCTTGTGAAAGGCCTTAGAATACGGAATATAAGCTTTTTACTTTTGGTGTGTTTTTAAAAACAAATCTTTACTTCCTGAAATGCTCCAGAAGTATTATGGGCTGAAAATCCATGGTCTCTTAGAGAGGCAAAACAGACTGATCACTTAACTTCCCCCACAAATTTTTGTCCGTAGATTTTTTTTTGAGTAGATTCAGCAATTAATGTGTTCGTAAGATCTTTTAAGTATAATGTTTAGTGGTATGCATTCACCTGTCACCAATGAAACTTTTTTAAAAATAGGACTTTTTTTTTCATGTTATACTCTCTGGCTTATCTTGTTTTAAGATCTCTAGCATCAAACTACCCTTTTGAATGTTCTCATTTTTTTCTGTGCATTGATTATGGACTGCGTCACATGATTGCTCCATGCATGTCAATCTCTACAACTTTCCACTAAATCCACACTGGTAAGTTCACCTGAATTTGGTGTTGAGGAATTGTACCGAACAAATTTCTTGCATTTAAAAGCATTCATCAGGAGCCAGTGGTTTGCTGAAAATGCCTCTAACATTTTCCCAAAACAAACTAATTATATTGGGGCTTTCATAGCCCAGGTACGTGGTACTTGTAAGTATGGGCTTGGTACCACTTAGTTTGTTTTGTATAAAAATAATATATCTTTAAATGTACCATCTATGTACTTTGATTTCTTTGATTTTTCCATCTGATCTCACTTTAATTATGCCAGTTGAGAATGCTTGCCCTCTCATCCCCTGATTCACATGCAAGGTTGGCTTATGGAGTTGACGGAGTCTGTGATCAGTAATATTGATCACAAGCCTGCAGTCACCTCTTCTGCCTTTTTCTTATTATAATGGAAATCTGATCTTTCGACATACTCACTTGCATATATTAATCTTTAGCCATCAAGAAAATTTGCATCATGTATTTTTTATTCAGAAATGAGCTTGATTTTAAAAAGTGCAATTCTAATATCCTCTTTTTTGTCTTTTGTCTTTGCTGTCTTGCAGGAGTGTAACTCTAGGCCTTACTAGACCTGTCAGCAACAGCTAAGAAATTCAACACCAACAAATTAAGCTGTGACAGTCTTGAGGAATGCTACTAAAAAGAGCATGAGAAATAGTCAGAAGTGAAGTTAACAAGATAAATAGTATTTGGCATCCCAGTACCTGACAACTGGAATCCTACAGTTTCAACCAAGGCAGCAAACCAAAGGACAAATATTTATCACTCCATACAATTTTTTTTTTCCCTACTTCATTAGCAATCTTAACGTGCCTGGTTATTGGATATCTTATTCTGGTAATTGAACTTAATTGAATCTGAAACATTTTATGAAAATGTTTGGCTTGATGGAACCAGCTGATCTAGCTGTTGTAGCACTTTATTTTGTCCTTGTATTGTGCATTGGTTTTTTTGCTATGTGGAAGTCCAACAGAAGTACTGTGAGTGGATACTTTCTTGCAGGACGCACCATGACCTGGATAGCAATAGGTGCTTCATTATTTGTGAGCAATATTGGCAGTGAACACTTTATTGGGTTAGCAGGATCTGGAGCTGCCAGTGGATTTGCAGTAGGAGCTTGGGAGTTCAATGCAGTATTGCTTTTACAGTTATTAGGTTGGGTTTTCATCCCTGTTTATATCAGATCTGGTGTGTTCACCATGCCACAATACCTTTCAAAACGTTACGGCGGTAACAGAATAAAAGTCTATTTTGCTTTATTGTTTTTGACATTGTACGTTTTCACAAAGCTTTCTGTTGACCTGTATGCTGGTGCGTTGTTTATCCGGGCTTCACTCGGCTGGGACCTATATCTCTCTATCATCATCTTGATTGGGTTGACTGCAGTGTTAACTGTTACAGGAGGACTTGTGGCTGTCATCTACACAGATGCCCTACAAGCAATTCTTATGATTGGTGGAGCTTTGACATTGATGGTTGTTGGAATGGTCAAGGTGGGAGGCTTTGAGGAATTGAAACGGAGATACATGTTGGCCTCACCAAATGTTACATCAGTTCTAGCCTCCTTCAACCTAAGTTCTACAAACACTTGCTGCATTCATCCAAAAGATGATGCTCTTAAGATGTTACGTGAGCCGACTGATGAGGATATTCCTTGGCCTGGCTTCCTGTTTGGTCAAACGCCAGTCTCTGCTTGGTACTGGTGTGCTGATCAAGTCATTGTGCAACGTGTCTTGGCAGCAAAGAACATTGCTCATGCCAAAGGAGCTACCCTAATGGCTGGTTTTCTGAAACTCTTGCCCATGTTTATCATAGTCGTACCAGGCATGATTTCCAGAGTTCTCTTTACTGATGAGATTATTTGCATTAATCCAGAACATTGTATGCAAGTATGTGGCAGCAGAGCAGGTTGCTCAAACATTGCCTATCCACGACTAGTATTGGGAATCTTGCCCGCAGGTCTTCGTGGCCTAATGATGTCAGTCATGATAGCAGCTTTAATGAGTGACTTGGATTCTATATTCAATAGTGCCAGCACCATATTTACCCTGGATATTTACAAGCATCTTCGAAAGGCTGCCAGCTCTCGTGAACTTATGATAGTAGGTCGTCTGTTTGTTGTCTTCATGGTAGCTGTAAGCATTGCCTGGGTTCCTGTAATTGTAGAGATGCAGGGAGGACAAATGTACCTTTACATTC